ACACACACTCCCAGCATGCCTCCGTTTGAAAAGAGCCAGCTGCAGAACAAACCGTTCAAACAGCGGAAGAGTTTCGGTAAATGTCTCCACCGGCGCAGCTACCGGAGGCAAAGTGGCGCACAACCTGCGGCTGACGGTGTTTTCTTTCTCTCTGCAGCTATCAGGAAGCAAGAGGTGGCGGGAATCCGGTCCAAGTTCCCCAACAAAATCCCGGTAAGACCCGAGTCCCGGTAACATTGTCGGTGGTTTGTCCGTGTTCTGACCTGTCGACCGGCCGCAGGTCATCATCGAGCGCTACGGGCGGGAGAAGTATCTTCCTCCGCTGGACAAAACCAAGTTCCTGGTGCCGCACGAGCTGCCCATGACCCAGTTCGTCACCATCATCAGGTAGAGTTCACCTGCGGACGGAACCGGAGGGACCGGCTGCTGCTGATTATTATTATTATTATTATTATTAATATTAAATAATAATGTTAGTTAATGTTTCCGGGTTTGTTTTAGTCTCTAAAAGGTCCGATATTGTGATAAATGTTGGTTTAATTTTTCTTCAACCAAGATATTAAATGAATTATTGCATCAGACAAAGAAAAAAGATTCAACAGTTAATTATTTTATTTATTTAATGTCTGAAACGTTTATTTTCTAACTTTAAAGCTACATAAGAACAAAGTTAGTTTATTAATTTAATGTAATAATTTGAACTGATCACTGTCACTGTGGCTCTACTGGGTCAGTGAGAGTAATCGGATACAACCAGGGCTGAGAGTTACTTTAAAAATGTAATCTCATTACAGTCAGTAACTATATCCAGATATCAGTGTTAAAGTAACTTCTGGATTAATTCAACAACGATTTAAAAACAAGAGAACTGTCAGACAACAGAACGATGTGACCTCTGACCTCCTCCCCTCCCCTGGATGAGGCACTGCTCTCCTCCACCAAACCTCATTCATAAAACTGTTGATTTTGAGCTCAGTTTTTCCTTTTTGGTTGTGACTCCGCAGCAGAACCAGTTTCAGGGTCTCGTTGAGTCCAGAATCCGGCTGCTGGTCTCACTGTAAAGACTCAGGCGGAGGTCACGTTGGGATTCGTTGCAGAACAGCTGATGAAAACTCGATGCGGTCACTTTAGATTTTCTCCTCATTATCAGTTCAGTCACATTGTGACTCTTTGTGACTCTCTAATGACTGTAATGTGGAAAATCTTAATGGACCATGAAGGCATCACGCTGGCTCTGACACTGTCACACGGCTTTATAACAGATGTTTGTTGACTTAAGAACATTTCTCTTTTAAATTGAATAATTTCTCTGCAGATAGTTTGGTTTTATTTGTAAAGGTTGTAAGATATCAGTGTCTTTAATAATATTTTAAATAATTAAAGCAGCAGGATCTCCTTCCACAAACTGTTACATAAATAATCTAACAATAACTTCTGGGTTTGAATCTTCCACTTTAGTTCCTGTGACGTTACTCAGCAGAACCTCAGCAGAACCTCAGAGTAAAGTAACTTCAGCCTGAATCAGCTGATGTAAGATACAGAAGTTATAGAAGTTCCACATGAGCCGCCTACAAACCTGTACCAGTATAAAACTGTTGCGTTTAGTTTGCAGTATATTTAGCCGGTTTCTGGTTTTAGAAAGTGGAATCAAACAATAGGACGCCTCACTTTCTTTGTGCAATGCATTGTGGGATGGTAGCGTCTTAGTCTAAATACTAACTGGATACTTTATGTAGGTTTTTGTCACTTTTGCAACATGAAAACAACAAATACTTTAAAATACTGAGAATTGAATGGACTCTGGTACACAGATAAATGTTTGTTGCTTTTCTGTTGATTATTTTGTCCCATAAAGGAACTCTTGGACGGTGTTTCTGTCCTCTACAATGTGTTTCTCTTTGTGCAATGCATTGTGGGACAGTAGTTTTAGTCTAAATGTTAACTGGATACTTTAAGGTATGTTGTTGTTGTTTTTCCAACGAGAACACAAATCCTTAAAATGCTGATAATTGTGAATGGACTCTGGCACAGAGCGGCAGTGTGCGGCCGTAGGGAGTCGGCAGTAAACAATAGTGGATCCACATTAAGTGCTGACCCAGCAGGTATGTGGGGCAGCTAACAGGCAGCGTGCAGCCTGCAGGGACGCCCCTCATTAACGTCTCTTTGTCCTGTGTCTCAGGAACCGGATGGCTTTGCTGCCCACTCAGGCCTTCTACCTGCTCATTAACAACGGCGGGCTGGCCAGCATGTCCCTCACCATGGCTCAGGTCTACAAGGACCACCAGGACGAGGACGGCTTCCTCTACATGACCTACGCCTCGCAGGAGATGTTCGGACACAGATTCCCGCTTTAGATTTTATCGTTAGCCTCCGTATCTGCTGTAAATGTATTTAAAAAAGAAATGCTTTGTATATATTGTAATATTGGTTGTACATGTTTGATTGTTTGAGCTGGATTTTAATTAAAGAGTATGTGGATCCAATAAATCTTAAACTGTAATGTGTGTGTGCAGTCTGGTTTAATTGGTATTTAAGAGCCAAACGGGGCTGCGTGCTGAGTTTCACATTATAAAACAAGTAAAATGTGTTAAATATCCTAACTTTTATTTAAAAACCAGGTCTATAAATGGTTCTCTTTCTCCTGCGATCATAAACATAGATCTGAAGCTCAGTTCTGTAAATGGTTTTCTAATCAAAACCGCAACTTCTGATCAACTCAATTTGAGGTTTAAATGAACTTCTGGTTAATCCTGCTGCCAAACCGGAGTTGCTGATTGTTGGAAACACTAACAGAGACGCTTTTAATCAGTTTTATTCTGTTTCTGTTCACTTTGAAGTGTTTTTAAATCACTACTTTTGTCAGTGGAGTCTGGTGGGCCCTAGTGCACATTGTTTTTGGTCTGATACACACGTGCTCCAGTGCGACATTATCTTCTATCAGGACACTAAACTTTACCCTTTGTCAAGATCAGCTTTAAGTTCTATCAATCTTCAAAATCTAGATCAGAAGGATTAAATCTCAGAACTGGGTATTTTATAAAACAGGAGATGTGATTCTGATCCCTCAGCTGGGATTTAGAAATCGAATCCAGATGTAGAGACAGACGTTATTATAGTCCACTAACACTAAAGTTAAAACTAAAACTGTGAATAAATCATTTTAGTTAACTGAAATGAAATAAAATGCATGAGGAGGCTGAGACTGTGAGTCAGTGTGTTTATATTGTGATTCTTTATAACTCCTCCCCCTCACATATTAGAATAAAACAATAATGAATATAAAGAAAACACAAACTGCTAATGTTACATTATGTAACAGTTGGAGGTTTATTAAAGACTGTGTATATAGATTGTGTGATCCTGTGATGAAGAAGAACTGGCCTCCGGATGAAGGACTGCTGCAGTGCATTGTGGGACAGGAAGGGAGCAGATGTGACTGAAGGTTCAGGAACAAGATGTCAGCAGACAGGAATGGATGAGAGCTGCTTTACTTTCTGTTCTCTCCTCCGTCACTGGATGGCAGCAGAGACCCACAATCAATGTGTCAGAGACGCTGATCAATAATTCATCTATCAGTCTCTGAACCATCAGAGCTGAGACTACTTTATTCTTCTACTCCACTACATCTGACAGCTTTAGTTACTTTACAGATTACAATGTTTCACATCCTTCCTGTCCAGTAAAACGTGTCTCTGTTGATTTCAGACACAATAAAACACTGACTGGGAACATTTTACTGCACTATGAGGACTTTTACTTTCTAATTTAATTACATTTTGCTGATAATATTTGACTTATGTACAAGGAAAAGTTCTGTATAGATACTTAATATAAAATATACTCTGGTAAAAGTAAAAGTACTCTCAGTTCCTACCTGTTATCTGTTATGGGTGATTTACACCGGTCTAAATGTTGGGAGGCCGTTCAAGAAAATACAAATAACAATCTATAATTATTGGAAATAAAACTGAAGTAACGAGCCTGTTTTGGAAATATAAGGAGTATACAGTGCAGATATTGATGTAAAACTTGAGTGCAGATTCCTGAAAGAACTCCAACATGGCGGACAGACAACAACACAAAGATTCTCATACTCAGCTGATTAATCACTAATGAACACAGACCTGTGAATATTCTGATAGATCCTCCTCAATGTTTCACACTGGAACCTTTAAACTAAATAAACGGATTAAAATCCTTCAAACATTTGCTGATGTTACAGAATCTGATTAAACATGAATGCAGCAGATCAAACACACGTCCACAGGGGGGCGCTCTCTCTCTCTCTCTCTCTCTCTCTCTCTCTCTCTCCCACATTAACCACATTAACCTCCACATTAAACAGCAAACATCCTGCAGCGATTAAAGTCGTTACTTCCTTCTTCACCAGATTTCATTACAGACGTCGTTAGAGGAGGCGACGCGAGCGCTTTCGTGGATCTCGCTCGTTCCTCGGAGAAGTTGTGGTGATAGTTTACGGCCCATTAACCGTAATGGAATTAACTAAACTGATTACGGCCACTGAATCTGCACACACACACACACACACACACACACACACACACTGCGTCTCACTTTATGTGAGTCTGAACCTGAAGGGACCTTTTTCACAGCAGCCATTTTGACATAAAATTGTAGGGTAAACACAGGTGTTATAATGACACTAACTGAGGTTTTCTTCAGGTCAAACAGAGTCAAAGTTACTTGGAAATAGTTATTAATTAGTTACTTCTCTAATTAATTTACACAGAATTATATAAAAGTTCCTTAAAGGAGACATTTTCTATCATTTTCTGTATATTTCATATTATATTCAATAATAACAGCAACTGCAGGAAGTTTGTGTAAAAGCAGAGATTTGGATGAATATTGATCAGAGGGGAGTTCACTGATGTTTTAAGGCTGTGGTTTATCCTATTAGGGGTCGCCAAAGCTTCAGGAAGCCTACTTGACTTTAAGGTGGTGTAAGAAAACGTGTTAATTTTAAAGTTTTGATTATTATTCGAGATCTAAACCTCAACGACAGCCTCGTCCTGTGTTAGAAAAATACAGTTTAAACAACAAAAAGGATAATATAGGAAGAAGGAAACACTGAATATGTAAAAGAAGAAGCCTATTAAGTCTGTTTGATTGTTAATAAATATAAATACAGACTGAATTCTATCAGTAAACTCGTCTCTGATCAAAATTCACAGGACATAATCTAATCTCTGGTTTTACACAAACTTCCTGTTGTTGTTATTGAATATAGTATGAAATATCCATACAAACACAGTGAGTTTACTCTCTGATCATACAGCAGATTAACTGCTGGATTAAGGTTAACGTGGAAGCTGTGTGTTGTTCTGAGATAAACTTTGGGTTAATGGAGTCGGAGGTTGGGTTTAATGTCCTGCAGCAATCAGCCGGCGACCACGGGCCGCTGCAAACCAATCGCTGCAGTTAATGAAGCCTGTTGTTGTGCAGCTGTAATGGTCCCGACTTCACACAGACTCATTACGCCTGTCTGGATCGGCTCTCGTCGCTCTCGTTTGGGGGAAATGGGTTTCGTCTTACTCATCAATTAACGGCACCGGGAGCCTTCAGAGGGGAAGGAATCAGAGAGAGAGATTAGAGATTGTTTTATTCTTTCACTTTAGTTTCCTAAAGTCAGTGAAAGCCTCTGCTTCATCAATCTGCCCCATCGATGGCTTCATAGTGCCTGCATCCACTGTACTGCAGAGGTCACATGGTCATAGTGAAACAAAATAAGAATAAATTAAAATACTGAAAGTAGAGATCTCGTACTGATTCTGATTCTTTACTCAAGTAAAAGTGTAAGAGTAGCTCTGAAATGTACTCAGATTATAAAAGTGAGGATATTTTTAACTCTGTCTCTGGTCCGAGACGGTACACTTATCAAAATGTAAGAAGTAGGATGGAAACATATTACTGTAAAACTTTAGTAAAAGCAAAATGTTAAATATTCTGTCGTCAAACAGTCAGCTGCCGCATTCAGGTCCGCTCTGCTTTAACTTTAACTACTCGCCAGCTGTGTTCATAAGCCCCCCTCTTTAAGGGCAGTGGACTCGGGTTAGCATCAGCAGAGTCTCCATTCGGTTCGGTTTCAGGAGGAACAGTGACTCCGTCCTTATTGATATTCACCCAACATTTGAGCCACACTTGATGAGCCATTTACGGGACATAAAATGTCCCATTTAACCTGCAGCTCATTAAAAGTTCATGTGTTCCCTTCGCAGCCCGGCAGGAATGAGGTTTAAATATTCATGACCTCCCCGACAGACACGCTCACCTCCACCAGACCAGACTCTGTCCTTGTTCGGCTTCAGCTTTATCCTCCTCGCCTGCTTTGTTTTTCATTTCAGTCTCCTCCTCTTCCTCCTCTTCCTCCTCCTCTGTCAGCAGAGGTTAGAAAGTTGTGTTTCCAACCAGAAAGTTGCTGCATGTAAAATACTGCCCACTAAAAACACAGCAAAGGCAGTTTTATATATGAAGCACGTTTAATAAAAGGCAGATTCACAGTGAGGATCAGAATTAAACCGCACACAGTCTTCACAGGTTACCTGATACATGATGTCTTTAGCGGTTTTATTTTAGATTTTTTACTCTGTTGGACAGACAAAGGAGCCGAGCTGCTGCTAATGTCAGCTCAGCTTGTTTCTCTGATAACTTAAGATCCAGACGTCCGATGACTAAAATCCTTCATCCGGTTCAAATCTAGAGTTAAAAAGCACCAAGATCTAAACAGTGGATGGTAACAATGTGGCTCCAGACTGGATAACCACTAACATCTTAGTGCGGTTCCTTTAATGGCAATTTGATGCTCAAGTCTCTGTAAAACAATATCATGGTCAGTGGTGTCAAATGCAGCACTAAGATCTAATAATACCAGTCCGTTGTCGGAAGCAGCTAACAGCTCCCTACATACAGAACATAAGTCTTATGTTTGTAAACATCTTAATGTGGAAATGTTGCATATTTTAATAAACATATATCTGAATATATGTGACAGTATGAAAGCATATCATTTAATGTCTCAGACATTAGAGTGATAGAGTTTAACTGATGTTAGTAATTAACAGTATGAGCTGTACAGTCTCTCTGTTTAAGCTCCTGCAGGCTGCAGCTCCTCGCTCTCTCTGCAGGGGGCGCTGTGGCTCCAGGCAGCGGGCTGCTGTCCCAGCATCCTCTCTGTCTGTGAGTGAAGTCTCTGACATCACAGTTCAGTAGAGGAACAAACAGTGTTTACTCTGAGAGGAAGTGACCTCTAAAACCCAATCAACACAAACACGCTTCATGTTCACATTTTACCTTTTTTCAGATGTTTACAGAAAGTTTAAGCAGAGATTACATCATAACACAGTCCCAGGTTATGATATCCAACAATCACCAACTCTGGTTTGGTGGAAATAAATCCTTAATTCACCGACGTAGATGATAAAAACAGCAGTTTCAGTCGGAGCAGACCGGCTATGGAAACAAACCACAGAGAGGCTGCGA